ACACTCCTACGACGGCGCAGCTAGATCCCAAACCGAGACAGTAGTTATCCGCTCTCCCGTGACTATTGCCTCGACAATAATTATACAGTACTTTCAACATTGCTCTACGTTAAATTCACAATTCACATTATTTGAATTCTTTATCACAGGGATTACACAAACAGTAAACATTGCAATAGACAAAATATAAAGGCCGAATTGACAGTTTATTAAATTGATAATTGCGAAAAAGATATCATCTCAATAGCAATCAATAATAATAATACATTCTAACAATATAACAAATATGTCCTAAATCAAAGCAAGTCTTTCCTTAACAATTGATGCTACTTCAGCCGTGCCAGATCTCTGGTCAGGCACATTAAGTCCTCTTTGCACGGCTGGTCTCGCTTCTATGCGAGCTATCCAATTCTTAATATTAGGATATTCATCTAGAGTAGAGACAAATGTGGATAAATATCAAGCCACTGTAATAGTATTTCATGTTGTTGAAAAGATATCGCTTTTTACTTACCAAAATTAATGTTTATTAAGGATGCAGCATCAGCCCATGTAAAGTTAATAATATCAGCAAGCGTCATAGTCAGTGAATCTCCCACAAGGAATTCTCTACCCTTCAGCCTGTTTTCAAGCACCTATCAATTGAGAACATAGTCAATAGTCAATGCATGCTAATAAACTGTGCGTATCATACACTCAACAGTCTTTGAGTTTCCTTATAGTACCGACGAATGCTATATGGAATCTCCTCTGGAGCCTCCTTCAGAAAATGATATGCTTGACGAGTCTTCCTTTTTTCGAATGAAAGAATGAAACAATTACGGGCTGATTTTGCGAATTTTATTCGGCTGGCAATTTTCTTATGTTTCGTGAGAGTCATAAATAAAAGAAACAGCAATTATTGGTTAAGAACAGTTGCTTATTTTTGTTAATTCTTTTACCAGTCCTTTCCAAATCGCCATTCACCCAAATTAAAAAAACTAAAATCTCAATTTAATCGGTAGGTGACTTCTTGACCGGATCCAAACCACCGACTTGGAACATCAACTACAAAAAAAAGGTGTCAAATCAATCAATAAAATATCTGATTATCAGCTCTCTCTCTCTATTACGCAATGCAAACGACATTTTGATATGCGTACCCATTGGATAGTCTCGCTACGCAGATCGGAATCCTTGGATAACAGTTTGCCTTCTGGGTCATAATGTTCGCCGAGATAGAGCATGATGGCAGCCCTTTCAAATACGCTGAAATTATCACGCAAGTGATCAACTATGGCCGGTATTCTAATTAATAAAAAATGTAAATACGCTTTATAGAAATTTTTTCGCGGTGTTTCTCGATCAGTATTATCTGGCGATACTTTACTTTCCATTTTCAAGGACCATTCTTTTTTTTGTTCCCCTGAAGTCAACGCGATTTTATGGACTTTGTAAGGAATTCCTAGCTCTTTTAAAGTGATGCTGATTTTATGACCCTATCAACAGTGAACGATATGTTAGACGACAATCACGTACTATGTTCAGTAAATCGTGACTGAATTCAAACATCACGTACATTAGGGTGCCAAACGTATACAGAGTGATATCAGGAGTAGCAGACATATTAAAATTGTGAGTATACTGATATTCGCTAAAAGCAATGGATTGATGACAAATCTATCGTCGAGAAAGTTCTAATATAACATCGCTCGTCATCGTGCTTATGTATTTGTCTTTACGACTTTGAGTTTAACCGGCCTACTAAACCCGGCTAGGAATTGTGATCATATCTAAATTATATAACAGCTTTCGTCATCTGCTTACTATTACATTGTTGTTGAAACTTTTAAGTTTAACCGATGTCTACTAACTTATTCAGGAATTTTAATGATACGTCTTTGTTTTGTCTTTTGCGGATTTAAGATTTTAACCGGTGTTTATTAAAATTACCAAATTAGGAATATCAAATCATATTAATACCATAGAATTGATCGTCGGATTCGTTTTTTCCCTTTGTCGCACAATAAACGTATTTATTTACAAGCTTTAAATAATTGGTTCTCAATATTAACGATTTGCTTATATTTTCTAATACTCTGCCCGGAAAAGGCGGCTAACTGTAAACATGCATGACTTTATTTCAGCGTCTTGTTAACTCATCCATGTTGACATGTGTAGAAGCACATTGTATAATTCGAACCTTTGAATAAGATTCATATAGTAATAAACCGTAAATTACGAGTTTATTCAAAAAGAGTTCGAGCTGCTAAATTATAGAAATGGATTGTTAACATTGTAATATTGTAGGTTGACTTTATTTATATCAGCATGTAACGTACCCGCAGCTGAATCCAAAGTGGGTAAGCGTGTGCTGGAATATTTACTCTCTTTCTCGAGATGTGATAAGGGTTTTACATCAGTATGATAGATAGTATTCCACACGTTGTCATCAGACTTATCCTCCTCCACATCGTCAATAATGTTGCAAATATCGTCCCAAACTGTATTTACATCAGGACGCTTATCAGGATCAGCATCACAACACCGCTCGGCAAGTTTCTTGTATTCCTCTGGCGCAGAATCAGGCATCGACGGTCGCAGTCCCTCACAAACACGTATCGCCAAGCATTCGTCAAACGACCAATCTCTAAATGGTGGTTCACCAGTAGCAATCAAATACATAATAATGCCAAAAGAGTACACATCTGATTTCTGAGTAAATTTGCGAGTAAAAAAGACTTCCGGTGCAATAAAAGGCAAAACGCCTTGACTGATTGAATTTGACTTGCGTGAATTCACTGATCGTGAAAGACCAAGATCACATAAAAATGGTTGTATCTTATTATAACGCGCATTGACATTCATAACAATGTTTCCACCATGAAGATCACAATGCACTAATCCCACATTATGAATATTACGCAGACAATATGCAATATGCCACAAATGCCGTAATTTATCCAACCACGTCAATTTGTTAATATTTTGAACCAAATAAGACAAAAGACTGCCATTGTTAGCATACTGCATAACAGTCATGTACTCTTTTGTTTCCGGGTCTTGCGTGACTCCATGAATTTTAAGGAATGAAGAATAATCATTTGTGCACTTGGCATGATTCCTAAACTATTAAATAAATAATAAATAGAGTCAGCTAAATATCACTTTAGTTAATACTACCAATCATTGCTTACCTCGGAAATAAATAATTCCGACATTCCATCAAATTTTTTAAACCGTTTGAATACAACTGTTTCCTCATCCATATACTCTTCCGAATATTTTTCATACTTGGCAGTATAAACTGTTCCGTAACCACCAGATCCAATTTCTTTGAGTTCATAAAAATCGCTATACTGCATGTATTTAACACGATTGGTATTTCGTATAAACTCGTCCAGTATTGCACGTATTTCGTAATAGAAAACTAAATAATATTCCCGAGTAGATGGCTCCTGAGTGATTCCAATTATCCAGACATTATCTGGTGTTAATATCGTCGGGTATTCCTTAGTTAACTATTTTGAGTAAACAGAATACACGCTGGTCAATTTAAACGCATGATACGCGCTTATCGATTACATTGTTTGCATGTGAAATAATTTACCTGATAAAAATCCGATAATTGTTCGTCAACTATTTTTTTGAGTGTTACACGGGTCGATTCATTCCATTCTGCTATATGCGTGCATCCATGGCGTAATGGCATCATCTCTTGTACATTTGTTAATAGAGAATATTCTATCCATTGTATATACGCATCATATACGTCAATTGTATTACTCCACGACTCCATAATGAATGAATCCAAAGACTTGTTGCCAGTCGTCCAACCAGGAGGAGTCGGTGCTTTACATTCGAAACAGAACACATTTATCTTGGGTACTAATCGACGTGTACACGCCAGACATAATCCATGTCCCTCCTCTTCTTTTATGAGACAATATTTTTGTTCGCTTGCATTGTTATTGTATGTAAATCCAATGGTGACCCAAACATCTGTGTTAAGAATATCAGGATGCTTATCACATAACTAGTAGAAATGATGCATAATAAACAAGTCAATAATTATTTAAACTATTCAACAAACCTGACGCATAAGTAAATAGTTTACCTCATCTGTTATCTCAAGTGGAATCAATTTAACATCGCAATTAGTAGGTGGACCATACAAATATACACATCCATCCCACTCATAATAAATACAATCGTATGGAATCCATTCCAAATAGGCGTCATTTGGTGAGTTTGTTTGTAGTTGAGATTTCTTAATAA